GCTAAGCGTACGTGCCGTTCATGCTGACTCACAGGCTGCTGACTGTGGCCACTATTGCTATCGTTAAGCTCAAAGCGTTGAGTGAGATCAGATGTAAACTGATTACACGCAACCTGAACGGTTTAAGCTGCTGCCAAGAGCACCGCCACAGGAAGTAGATCGTCGACATCTACACCCATGTCGATGATTCGCACGGCCAGGGATACCTGTCTGCTCGAATTCAACGCGATCCAACCTCAGCCTCCGCCTCTCCGGGAACTGCAGGTTCAGAAGTCATGTTCTGGGACCCTGGGAGTCATGCACACACTAAACCAGGCCCTCTTGCAGGCTGCGACTTGACTCTCAACAACCCGGGCGCACCGGCGAAGGCTCCGAGTTCGCTGAAGCTTTGAGCTTCCTCGGAGAAGTCTCAGTCAGGCACCCGAACGCCAGAGCAGCTCAGAAACATTCAAGCTGAAAGTGGGCCGACCACTACCACGGCTGTAAGTAACTGCCACTGCCACTACTGCTGGCAATTCGTCTCAAAGATCTCCGGAGGCACCTCCGAGTCGTCTCGAGGCAAGCAGCCCAACCCTGAAGACACTATGCTCAACAGTCTCTTAGAAAATTTCACCGAATCCCTCGCCCCCCGCAATATCGTCAATCGACCCTGGCACTTCCGCCCGCAAACAGAAACGATACTGTTGATGGATAAAATTCTGCATGACCCAAATATAGTATAGTACCATGAATCCCATAGTTTAGGTATATAAGGTCATGCAGGATTTTGTCCATCAACCGTACGAACCTCCCTCAAAACCTCGAGCCGCAGGCCAGAGCGAGAGCCGATGGAGGCCCTTCGTTTCTAGGAAGCCCTTTGCCTCGGGAAGTTCAGGGAGTTCAGGGTTGTATTTATGGGCTTAATTGGGGTTCTGTGGGTTGCTTATAGCTACTTACAGACTGTACGAATCTTTCATTCCAGAGGGTGACAGCTCGACAAGCAGAAGATTTAGGGACAATGTGTGGTGCAGCAGTCTCAACCGCCCCAGGTTACCAAGCTTTCTGTGCACTGGGCGGCTTCGCACCCCGTTCTGCGCTGCTTCGCGCGGTTTCAGTTCTTCTTTCGTGCGTGGTGCGTTCTGCAGAGGATTGGACGACCAACTGGACCTCAAAAAGCTGAAGATGATGATGGTGACGATGAGGACAGTTGGTCCTGCGAGGTCCTTCCCTGCTGGTTAGCTCAGGGCCGACCCCATCAAAGGGTCGTTATCGTCCTCCCGGCCCATCGCAGCTCGGAGGGAGCTTCGGTTTACACAGGGACGACGCGCTTCTGTTCAGTCTTCTGTAGGTGGGATTTTGGTGCTTTGGGCTTTTGGTATGGGGGCTTTAGCTTGTCAGGGTCTGAAGATCACCAAGCATTGCAGCCTGGGGTCTGCGCTAACTCTGGGACTTTCTCTCCTTCAGCATCACCCAAACCCGAACACCCAAAGGTCATGTCCGCTGAGTTTTGGTAGCATTTTCTCTCTGAAGACGCGGGCCCAGCGCTCGGAGCTGAGCAGGAAGTCCACTGCGTCCTGCGCGGCTCTGGCAGCTTAGAGTCCAGGCTATGGAGCTCTTGATATTGGAAGGGCGGTCCTTGCATAAAAACTCTATATATAAATATATACCACAGAAGGAGAAGGTTGCACTGGGACAGAACATTTTAGGAGCTGCTGGGACCATGTGCTGGGCTGCTGGCTGCTCCTATGTGGTAACTGTACTGACAAGCGCGCTTGTGCAGCTTTGGCTGCGAGCTTGCTGTGGTTTGGGATGCAGGGTGGTCCCGAAGCTTCACGCCTCATTTCCGTAAACTTCGACTTGCACCCGAACCTCCGATAGACTGTTACCACAGCACATAGAGCGCTGCAAAACCAAAAGCCCGTCCAGGATTTGACGAGCGTACTTGGGAGACTCGACCATCAACTTGAGCATGAACTCCTGGCATCTGCAAATTCCTACTGGAAGAATCGCCCATGCCAGTAGTGAGACCACTGGCTTTCATATCGCCAATATTGTCAGTGTACAAAAAATGTTGAACCAATCTTGCGTATAGTAGAATTGCATGCATTCAAGCAGGCTCAGTGCGATCTTGAGCAGGCCAGACGAACAAGCGACACACTTGAGTCACTAAGTTCAGAACCAAAGTGCCTCGGACAGCCACAAAAATTGCTGAGATTGCAAGAATTCCAGAAGACTTTCCTTCGCTTTGTACTACGAGCCGCTTTCAAACGATATGACAAGGTATCTTCGAGTATAATGCTAGTATTCTCTGCCAAATTCCCCGATCATGCCTTTAGACTCAGAACTGGCACTGCAACATGCACGGTGGTCCCAGACGGAGGCGATGGTGTCATCCGCAGGCCTAGGTGCTTCGAGGGCACTGCTTGCCGCATAAAGGCTACCACCAGAGGCCTCGGAGAAACAGGAACAACATCCCCGAGACGAGCAAAGAAGCAGGAAGCTCCGGACGGCTCTTTGTTTCATGAAAGAGCTCTCATCAGGTTCTTGTCCGAATCCACAAACGGTCCAGCTCTCAGAGATGTCTCAGCCCCTGGCAGCTCGATGGTGCTCAGCTTCTCAGGCTCCTGGCAGAGAAGCAACGGAGGATGGAAGCTTGAACGATTTTGAAGGCTGCTATCGGCGTCGGGCCAGTTGAGCGTTTAGGATTTAAGCCATGTATGAGTATGAGTGTGACACTGAGAAGGTATGGGACAGAGACCCGAAAGTTACAAGATCTACACGAGGAACGTCCGACTGCTTGTCCTACGACTTACCAACCAGCTCATGCAGAACACACCGAGCCGAGGCATTGAATGACTTCAACGTCTCAGCACCTCACGAAGTCATGGTATCAAAAAGGCCCAGGAGAAAAACAACTTCAAGACAGGGCGCTCGTTGAGAAAGGGCCTGTCATCAACTAATCCGTACCCCTGCGGGACCAGGCAACTGCTATCGGATCAAAAAGCAAGTCTCGATTGCGAAGAGTTGAAAACTAGAGCCGGCAAAAGAAGCTGAAGGCAGACCATACTGAAATTCGGGGGGGAAGAAAGGCTGTCAAGGGACAAGGCCGCGTGGCAGAGCACTTTTGCAGCCTGCTCGTAACGTAGGTAGGGCCTAGAGTTAGAAAGGGACGTCAAGTCCGGTGTAGCTTGCATTCGAGCAGCCCCAGAAGTCTCGATGTAGACTGACTAATCAATCGGCCCATAAGCCCCTCAACAAAGTAATCCAAACCTGCGCAGGAGGCCTTCTTGAGATCCGTCAGACCCCGCCGTAGGGCGTTCCAGGTGTTGCCGGCTTCATCCCGGAAAACCTCCCGAAGGCTCAAGAAGACTCCAAACTGGAGCAAGATGGGGTTGAGGGTTGAGCTTGTAGGGTTTAGATGGGTTTAGGGTTAGAGTTACAGGATTCAAGGTTTGGGCTTAAGGATGGGATGCTTGGCAGCCTTGCCAGTTTTTAGGCCTGCTTGAACCAGCTCGGACCAGCTTGTGATGGGGATTTATGGGGCGCACTCAGAATACACCTTGCGCGCGCTGGACAAGGATCAGGAATAGTCTTCTTGAAACCCCGATGCCCTCCTATCAGGGCATCATCCTTAGACACAAGCGACTGCATGGCAGACAGGTGCCGAAGGGCGGGAGTAGGCGCGAGAATCGGCTAGCCAGGTTGGCTCTAGCTAGCAGGCCTAAGCCAAAATGGCACAGCAGATACATAGCTCGGCTCAGAAATGAAGCATGCCGAACACAACAGCGTGTACACAGATGGGTAAAACAAAAGCAGAAACTGCAGCAACAGCATGACAGTCATAGTCGTCGCCGCTGTCACTGTGGTTTTGTGGTGACTCTGAGAAGCCAGCACGCCGAAGATTCAAAGACGAAGCCGAAAGCTCAGCGAAGCCCCCTGCTCCTTCTTTTGAGGACTTCATGTCCTAAATCCGAAAGGCCCGAAATCGCACAACATGCTCTGTAGCGAGCTCGGAATCCCGAACCCTTGTCCCTGAACCCTCACCACTAAATCTTCGACCCATCTAAACCACACAACCCTAAACCACTTGTGAGCAAGCCTTCGCGGAAGCCAGGGCTCTAGGGACCGCTGGTAAGGCCTGGCTCGAGGCTCCTTCCTTCTCTATTATATATATATATATAATGCTCTATACTAATCATAAGCCATAAGCATAAGCTAACATAACAGAAGATGTTTTGATATTCTTGGATGTGGGGCTTTGGAGGCTGCAGGTTCCAGGGCTCAAGTTACGGGTTGTGGCTCAGCGCGAGGAGAGAGTGTGTGGCTTTCTTCGGGCCACGCCCGTCCCTTTCCTTGCTGTGGCCTCCGCCCACATATACCCGGCGAAGCATCAAATGCCAAAAAAGGCTACCGCCCAGCACCTCGTCTCTTGCACTGCAATCCCTATGAAAGTGCCCCCCAGGAAAGCCTCAATCAGCCGCCGAGCGCGGTCCATTGCGAAAAGAGTGCGATGGAGGCGTACCCTCTTACTGCTATCTACCTGGCTCTTGTTTCGAGACAGCGGGGAAGAGAGAGAGAGAGAGGAGAGGATAGATAGACAACAAACAGATCTCTAGATCTCTGTTTCTCTCTGTCGCTATCTGATTCCAGTTTGGCCGAGTTCTCGACCTCGAACGAGTTCAGCAAAGCGCCGGGATGTTGCTTGTCCGGGCAGCCAGAGCGTCAAGCTGTTCTTGTGAAGCAGTTCTGACTGTCGCTCTGGGATGCGGGATGAAGGGCTTGAAGTACCGGCCCACCGTTGCCGTGGTAATCCACAACATGTGCTGAAACCATACTTTCCGCGTGGCGCGCTAGCGCCCACTGGTGTCAAGAAGCTCACCGTGGGAGCAAAGAGGGCGTGCGGCTCTTCTCAAAGCAAAACAAACACAGACCTGTGAGGTAGCCTTCTCCGTTAAATACCTGGCCCCTTCGTGCTACGTTGGGGGGCGCGAGCTGCACCAAAATCCTAGGCACCAAGCTCTTCAACCAATCTGCGACGGGGAGGCAACTGACCTGGTGGATATAGGCAGCTGGCGGAGCACTGCTGGTGAGAGGCTGCTTGCACTGCGCTGCAGAGGCCACGCCTGCGGCGAGTTGTGTCGAGGCTTGTCTGGCTTGAGTCCACTGACTGAGCTTGTGAAGCAAACTTGATATACCGGCACCCTGCGAAAGGATGACTACAGTCCACACGGCGGTTCGCAGTGGTGGTGGTGATGGTGGTGGTGGTGATGATGATGCTGCTGATGATGATGATGGTGATGATGGTGATGGTGGTGATGGTGGTGACGGCGATGATGGTGATGATGGTGATGATGGTGATGACGATGGTGATGACGGTGATGATGATGATGATGATGATGATGATGGTGATGGTGATGGTGATGATGATGATGATGACGACGATGACGACGATGATGATGACGATGATGATGACGATGACGATGATGATGATGATGACGATGATGATGATGTCGATGGTGACGATGACGATGATGATGATGGTGGTGGTGGTGGTGCTGCTGCTGGCGGTGATGGTGATGATGACATGAGGTAAATAGGGTCTTTGCGTTACCAATATCCGGAGAAGGCCAATATTGCTAAAGTCCTAAGATCTCTTCGCCAAAACCATATATGATTTGGATCCAATTATTTCATGCACTGGTGATGGTCTTGTCGATCGACCGACATCACTGAAAATGTCGAGACTGAATGCGGCATCAGTCCATGCTCTGGAGTGGCACTAGCGAATTACAAGGTCTCGCATTCAAACCTTACCTTAGGCTGAAGTTCCAGAAAGGGTAGAAGGGCTGGTTGCGCCCCACTGAAACTACACGTGGCAAACATCTATCAACTGTTTCCCTTTGGAATGAGGAATCCTGACCACCCCCGCACAAGTCCATGTAGACCACGCCCGCTGAAACTAAGCCTCATGAGTCGGACCCCACGGCACGGCAAGGGTGAACGAAAAGTGCACACACACACACACACTCACTCATTCACAAATTCCCCACACTGAGCCCAAGCCCTGCATAGCCTCACCCAGCGGTGGCCAGTCAATCGTCGGCGCCGGGGTCGAGGTTGAGGTTGGCACGCCGACCTATGGCCGCTGACGGATGGTGAGGTGGATTTGGGACATGGAGAAACACGGAAATAGCTGCAGACGTGGTTGTAACACATGGCAACGGCAGAGACAATCGATCAAAGACAACGGCTACAATGACCGCATGAAAGTGAGAACAGCCTCAAAGAGACCGCGATGATGGTACTACTCGCTGTGGTAGTGGCAGTGCTACTGGTACTGGTCCTGGTACTGGTACTAGGTGTGGGTCTGGATGTGGGAGTGTGAATGGGAGCGGGAGTGGGGGCGCTGGGGTGTTCAGGGGGTTATCGCAGGACGACTGATGTCGACAGCGATTCGCGAAAAAAGATGACAAGGACCTGATCTGCTCCTCATTCCTAGCTGAGGATGGTAAGTGATGCTTGATGCTTTCATCAACATCGTGCGGCTTTCCTTGATATTGTGCACTCATGGGTCGCTGCAGAATTCACACGTAAACAGCAGTGTACGGCTTCGAAGGGAGGCCGCAAACTACCCAGGTTCCATAGACTTGGCTAGTTCTACTGCCGACTGTTTCGTCCACTGCCATCTTTGGGGGAAGAGCTAGCAATCGTGGATTGTAATTCCAGCAGCCAGCAGCTTTGCACCCTGAAGCCTGGCCTCCGCAGCATCAAGAGCTGCTTCCTGGCGAAGCTCTGCAAAGGGCTTGCTGCAAGCTGGTGGTGCTACGCTCCCTGGTGCCGACAAGCAAATCCGACGAACAAGCTGGCATGCTCGAAAGTGCCCGGTGGCCTGATCTGCAGCGTCCACAACCACCTCCGGCATGCACGGCAGGTTCTACGCCCATGAAACGGGCAAGCTTAGAAAGTATAACAAAGGAGCCGGATGAACATCCAACTTTCTTCAGCGATCGTAACATAATATGGCCCATCCACTGAAGTCCTTTGCTTCCATGGTGTCTCGTCACTTCCCGGGAGCACCTCCTCAACTTCCTCGTTCTCGGGGGACATCTGAGTGCAATCCTCCAGGTCAACAGCAAGGGACTTGATGCATGTGCCCCCGGTCTGTTGATTGCCAGGAACTGAGGAAGGTCAACGACAATACTTTGAAAAGTGCACACACATCGTTGACGGTGTGAGCAGAACTTCTTCGAAAGACAGGGGACAGGGTGCCTATCCTTTCATCGTCTCGATCTGCTGTGCGTCATGAGTTGGCCGTCGACGGGCAGAGAAGTTCTGAAGCTCATACAAAGCGGGGCTTCCACACCCGTCAAACCTCTCGAGAATCCTGATAGTGTATATAGGTGGATCAAGCCCAAAAGCCTGAACTCGAAAGCCCCTAGCATAAACCAGTAGAAGCCCTGGACGCTTCGACCCTGAAGTCTCTTCAACCCGAGAACCGTCGCGTGGACCTCCTCCAAGGCAGCTAAGGCGGCCTGAGCTGCGTCAGGGCCTTACTCCGAACGAATGTAACCACCATCATCGACCCTGCTATCCCTGCGCGTCGTTCTGATGATGAGAACGATAGCTGAACTCTCAGCACTTTCTGCTTACTGCTGAGCCATGATGATGCAAGAAGCACTTAGGGGTCATCCTAGAACCGTACGACCATTCACAACAATTACTCACGGAGCCAGCAGTGACTGTCAACCCGAAGAAACCCAAACGACCGCTACCCTAAAGCTGAAACCCTGAACGTTCCTAGTATGTTCGATGTGAACCCTTTTGAAAGGCGAGCTGAGCTAAAGCTGCGGCCGTGGAGTGTGCTTAACATAGGGCCTGAATGCTGCTTAGGGCTTGGATATGTAGGGACTCTAGGGATACTACTGTTCAGGCATGAAGCTGGCTTCGAAGAACTTCAGGCACTTTGGTCGAGTTTCGAACGTTGGCACAAAGAAGAAAAGAAACGGGTTTAGGCTTTAGGGTTTAGGGGATTTTGGGGTCCTTATAATAAGGATCCTACTATTTAGGATACTCTATCATACTATCCTAAATAGTAGGATCCTTATTATAAGGACCCCAAAATCCCCTAAACACAATAAGGATCCTACTATTTGGGATACTCTATTATAGTTATAGTATCCTAAATAGTAGGATCCTTATTATAAGGACCCCAAAATCCCCTAAACCCTACTATATCATAGTATCCTAAATAGTAGGATCCTTATTATAAGGACCCCAAATATTAGGGATCCTACAGGTTACGAGGCCGCCTCCGTCTCGCGCAGCTTCTCGGAGACCCGCCGGAGCTGACAAAGCTGACCCGCTTTCCCCGGGATGCTTGGGGCTTTGGGGGTTTAGGGTTTAGGGTTTAGGGTTTAGGGTTTAGGGTTTAGGGTTTAGGGTTTAGGGTTTAGGGTTTAGGGCTTAGGGTTTAGGGTTTAGGGTTTAGGGTTTCAACCCTGGTTGAATGCTCTTGACACTGTGTTGCAAGTGTGCTGCTTCTGTCCTATTTTGGTGCATCAAAAGACTACCTGATACCGTACGGGGCGTGCTACAGTTGTCGGTGATACCTCTATGACCGAGTATCACTGATGCGATGACAAGTAGATTTTCCGCGCTGTGTCTTGGATACTTCCAATCGCAAAAGATACAGGAATTTGTGATCGCAGTATCTCGGCACGTATGGGAGTCGTAGCAGCCCTGTCACAAGCACTGTAAGCTGCAGCAGTCCGTCGGGATTCACCATAGGTGTTCAGTGCAGTTGCTTGCCTAATTCGGTCCTGTCTTGCAGAGAATGTTCTTGCATATCGCGACTGCTGAGTTACTAAATGTAGGTATAGCCTAGCGGCACAGCTGCGACGCTGCGCGATCAGGCTGCCACATCCTAAACTGATTGCTTGCGGTGACCACGAGCAACACAAGCTTGCTTTCCAAAGTCCTGACGTTCATGATTCATGATGCATTAGACAACCGAGCCTGCTCCCCACATCTGTCACAGGCTGAGACCGGTATGTGCTAAGGGGTTATCCTGAGCTGGAGTGTTGGACCGGAGGAAATATTTACTTCGGCTGGGCTAAGACACATAAGGCATCATGGGAAATTGGCAGTCCTTCACCCAGATCCAGCTCATGAATGCCAGAAGCATCTCTGCAACCTATCGACAAACTCCAAAGCCTAAACCTGCCCGACCGAAACCCCACCCCTATCCACGGCCGTATGTACAGCTTTTGCCTCAGCCTTCGAGTCCGCTGCCGCGGCCCATAGGCTGTCATCCTGGAGCATGGGTTCTTGGGGTTTTAAGACTTGAAAGTCATATGGACCCCCACGGAGCAAGCATCAAGTCCGTGCAGGCAAGGTGGGCTGGACGGCTCCATGACTTCTACATCTGCATGCCCGTAGGTACACTGGGGCTCCGCTTCCGATCCTAGATGCCCGAACTGCCCCTCAACTCCACCGATTTCACCCCTGATCTTCCCTTCTGCAACTCCAGACCATCCCAAAGTGGTGCTGACGGTGGCAAGTCGACCTGCTCTGAAGCGATGGGCACCTCTTGAATCAACTCGCCCTCGTCAGCCTCCTCCTCCAGACCCTCGGCGCCCTCGGTGACCTCTGCAAAGCCCTCATCTGGGAACGCCCCATCGTCGGGCACCTGAGCTGTGGCATCTCAGTGGCAGCACCCGTGGCCGCAACTCGACTCAGTTTTCAGTTCTGTTTTCCTTGCTAAAGTCAGCTATACGTGTCTCAATCCCCGAACCCATTACTCCATATTACTCCCACATCGCCTGCTCGTGCGAGTCGAGATCAACATTCGGTACGTCGTCGTGAGCGTTGTCGGGCTCCTGCTCTTCAACATCGAGTTGCAGAGACTGTAGACATCAGATGTGCCCCACGGACATGTCGAACACCTGCCATCCATGACCACAGTCCTCTGTCAAAGTCATACATCCTCCCGATGCCTCTACACCGCAATCATTCCACCTTCCTCGCGCCCGAACGAAGAGGCGTCTTAGCTTCAACGAAACAGACCCGAGGCGTTTCAAAGAGGCCACGAAGAAGGGGTCGAGAGGCAGAGATAGGCAGAGCGGCTTATTGCATTGGGCCTTATGACATCTTAGGGCTCAGGGTTTAGGGTGGGCATTTTTGGTATGACCTGGTCCAGCATCAGGCCCCGACTCAACCCGGCTCTTGGGGCCTCCTCGGCCAGCCTGGGCATGTCTTCGACCTGAGGTCGCTCCGAGGGATGCTTTAAGCCTCAAGAGCGCCACACCTACCAACGCCATGACTGTGGATATTGCAATCCACTGGGATGGGGGTCTGACCCCTTGGGCCTGCTGCAATCATCTAGCCTTCTTCCCGTTGCGAAACGTTAGCCTCTCTTTCTCCGTGTTTGTTCTTTGTCTTAGCGTCTACAGGAGCCCCTCAGGCATGAACCCGGGCACGAAACATGCAGCACATAACAGCAGACACCCGTGAAAGACGCTTCATCGCGCTTCCGCGTGTTGCATTATGGCGCTGCGAAGTAAGGGAAGGCTCGAACCAAAAATTAGTCCACCAGACCAAGTGATGAGTAATGAGTAGTAATCATTCCAGGCAGAGAATTGACAGAGCTGTCTAGGGCCGGAGTTTCTTCATCGAGTGCAGCGGACCTGCGGTGTGCTGCATTCACGTGCAAGGAACATGGCAAGCCTTCAGTTCCCTATCAGACACCATCACGTACTTGTGATACATGCACAAGCAGTGTACTTTATCAGAAATACCGTAACGTACGCTAGGTAACAACATACAACAAAATAGTTTAGTGCAATACGGCAGAACATGGTGCATCGACTGTATATAAAAATGAATGTACCTTACAGCACGCTCCGATCAGAAAACTGTAATATTGAGACATGCTGCACACACATTCATCCTTCCCGCGTATTCTTGACAATCGCACATAACTGCGTGTCATTAGTGTGTCGGCGTTTCTTCACAGCAGCAGCAAAAGTAGAGGTAGAGGTAGAGGCAGAGGTAGAGGTAGACGTAGTGGTAGTGGTACTTAGTGGTAGTGGCAATAGTGGTACTGGTAGTGGTAGTAGAAGTAGTAGTAGTAGTAGTAGTAGTAGTAGCAGTAGCAGTAGCAGTAGCAGCAGCAGCAGCAGCAGCAGCAGTAGTAGTAGTAGTAGCAGCAGCAGCAGAAGTAGTAACAGTACAGTGGTAGTAACAGTAGCAGTAGCAATAGGAGTAGTAGCAGTGATAGTAGCAGTTTTAAGTATAGTGATATGCACGCAAAAGGCTAATGTTAATCGCGCTGCATAGATTGCATGCCAGCGAGTTGTATTGCCGACAATATCCACTGCGGCTGCATAGTCTCAGGTCCACACGCTCTCGTCCGCATACTCCTGGGCTTCTGGCTCAAAGGCCTGCAACCAAAGTACTCGAGGTCACAGCTGGCATGGAGAAAGAAGAATGGGGAGGCTTCTAGGGACTGCACATACTTTTAGAACGAGGCGTAGGGAACGCTTCGTCTTGCTTGGCGACCTGCCAACCGTTGACTCTGTTGCAACTTCCATTGCTGATTGCTGTTATTGGTAGTGTAGTTTCGATTGCTGCTTGCATCTAATTCACCATCGGTCGTCTTTGCACCATGATTGCTGCTAGCGTGCCTTGTGATAGGGCCCGTAGCAGAGTTCCCGTTTCGCATTGCCGACAGCAGGAAGTAGGCAAAAGTACCTTAATGCATCCTCCGAGCTTGCGTGATAAGATACATCTGAACCAGACAACATCTCCTCTCATCTTGCCTAAACTGTTGGGAACAAATGGACCAACAGGCCGACAACATCTTGCAACAAGCCG